AAAATCAATTGGTATTTTGCAATTAGGCAAATGACGTTGACATAACAAACCATTTACGGTCAAAGATTTTTTTATTTTCAAACAGCTCTTCAGCTTTTGCTTCTTCTTTTTATCCTCTAACGGGCAATTAGTTTGAAGAGTTCACAGGTCAAGTAGTTTGTTGTATTTTCGCCATGTTGTTATTTATCATTTGCTTTTTTCCCCGAATTGATTAACTACCGCTGTTAGAGAACGGGGAATAGACGAGTGGGCGAGAGATGGAGAGAAAGAAAAATTCCTTCAACAACAAACAACAAAAGAATTGGACATACACACGGAGACAAGTGAAAATATACAGGAAAAGTGATCTGAACCATTTTCAAGTGGAAGGTGCGCCAAACAGCGTGTCCAATTAATGAAGGTAAAATGATAAAAAATATGCTCATCTTCCATGCACGCGCAAATCCACCAAGTGATGAAGCAATTAGTTTTCAACGATTGCTTTTTTTGTTTGCCGATCGCCACGCTTCAGGCCTTTTTTGGTCGGTATCATTTGGAATGATTGTGCTCAGTAACTTTTTCGCGCTTGTTTTCAAATTATAGGTAGAGTATATTGATCGCATTTGTTATGGTAGGTAGAATATGTTGATTGTTGTGCATAAAAGGACACACACACACACAGAGAGAGAGAGAGAGAGAGAGAGAGAGAGAGAGAAACCGTAGAATAAACAGAATATATTTCCTTATGGAACACTCTTAACTTACGTGAAACGGATTAACGGAATGTGAAAAGGGTTTATGGGGAATTTTCACATGAATACCAAAAGCACATAAAGACATAACTTTGGCTTGAGCAAAAATGATTGTTCAATGATACATGCAGGAGCTCACGTAGGATATCCGTGCTCCGTGCTTCTTCTTCACCATTTTTTTGTTTGATTCGATGCAGATTTAAAGTCGATGAAGAGGAAACTCCGTACGTGGGTAAGTGCGTGCTTTTCCGCGAATTCAATTATTTGGGAATGATTTCAATAATTTAAGCGCTGTTAAGTCGCAAAAAGGGCACAACGCGGGTATAGACACAAAGCTCTCTCTCTCTCTGCCAAAGATCAAATAAAAATTGTGGCGAGAAAGAAGAAGTTGAAGGGAAGAGACCATATGAAGAGGAGGATTGAATTGAGTATCAACTTATCTCTGTGCAAAATCTTCATCTTGTGGAACAAAGTCGATGATGAAAATTGACAACAGGCACCTCTATCGAGTACACAATTTGCACAAAAGCATTGAATTCTTTATTAATAGCTTGCCTTTCAACACAATCCGCAACAGCACAGCATAGCATGGAATAGCGCGCACACACGCACACCCATACATTTGCATGGTGATGTGAGATGTAGCCCAGGAACGCGCCGAAAATGGCATTTTATTGTGTGCTTGTTTCTTGGTGCTAGTATCACTGCTGCTTACACACAAAGCTCATCATCCACCTGCTTCATTTGCGTCGCACATGCCGATCGAAAAAGTAAAAGTAGACGCAAACTGACGCAAATCAACAACCCAAACGGTCTCTCTCTCTCTCTCTCTTCTCGCTCTCTACCAGCACATGCACACACTCTCGCTCAGCTCAATATTGATGATGCCTGCTTTTTGCTCGCAAATTCCGCATCATCCGAAACAAAACTCACCGACTCCTTCCTCTCCCTATCTATCTATCTCTATCGTGCTTGCTATTTGGCTGTGTGATGATATTGGCTATGTGTATGCTCCCATTTCGATCCATTCAAGTTTTTGTCGAGCCACAGACGTCAGCGCGCTCAATGCTGCGATTCTGCTCCTGTTCTCCGCGAATAAAGTGCGCCATTTGCCATTCCATTCATCCATAACTATAGCACCAGCAGCCGCCCTAACGATGATGATGAACACACGTATCGTTACTTTGAAATTATTTCCATCCACAGTAAAGAGCAGTAATGGAGAGAAAATCTCTTGTCTTTTCAATATAGCTACATAGTTAGACGCTTTTTGTTTCTGACTCTCGCTCTCTCGTCCTCCTCCTTGTCAATTGTTTCAACTCAAAATGTTATTAAAATTCCGGATATGAATACCAGCTTCACAATAAGCTCCGAAATTGAGTAGTTGCTGTATGTTTCTGTTTATTGTATCCCGTTTTTGTTTCATTCAAAAGGATGGTAATTGTTAAGCCTTAATCTTATCCGATTTGATATTTACTTCCTCATCTTAAGTTTGTCTAATTTTCTCTCTCTCTCTCTCCCTCGCTTTTTCTTTGTATATCTGTCCTTCGTCCCCTTTGATCAGTATTGAATGAAATATGTTCGAAGAATGGGAATGAATACCGTTATTCAAGACATGTCTCTCGGCTATGTGATGTATCATCGAATTATACATACTTACACACCAAAATGGCCTGGGAGGTTTGCATATTATTTTATTGCTAAATTGAATATTTCATTTCTCGTATGCGTTTGGGAAATTGACGAAATCAGCGTTGCCATCGTTTTTTATGAGTTTCGGAAAGAGGTGTCCATATGAATACTTTTTTTTTCTTCTTAACGATTGCATTGACAGAGTAACTTTGTTCGGGTAAAATTCACATTTGTTACTAACGTCACAAATGCCAAATTGCGTCACTTTTTTGCCCATGGAAAATGCTTGATTTAAAAATTCTCGGTAATACGTCTAGATTACGATTTATTGAGTGACAGCAAACAACATGATCGAAATCGACTTTGAATTTTATAAATTCGAACGCCGTTTCTTTTTCCAAATTATATGTGACTCCTGGAGTGACTGGTTTATTTTCTCTTCGCGTCAATATGTGATCACACACGTTTTTCATGCATTAGACGGAGAGAGGGAGAGAAAGAGAGAGCGATGGAGATGAGTTTTCTTATTTATTTCGATAATGCGATGTACATGTTCGATTGTCTGTCTTCGTCGTGTCTGTTTTTTTTTTCTTCAGTGCTTCATTTCACACGCATAACACATTTTCTTGCGAACTGCGATGCAGGAAATTGTATTTATACATACCCATACATACACACACATACCATCCACACACCTCATAGATTTGGAATGCGTTTCACTTTGGCAATTTACACAATAATTCAAATGTTAATACTCACAATGATACCTCAATGCTCAATCAGCAATTTTATCACGGCTTTTTGGTATTGAATGGTGTAACAATGGTAAAATAGAATCGAATCGGATCGAATTGAATCGAATTGAATTCAATTGTGTTTGAGGCAAGCGAGCGAAGTCGCGCTCGCGCTCGCGCTCCTCAGAATCCAATCGAATTTAGCGAGAGAGAGAGAGAGAGATATATACGTCGACAATTCAACACCGCTTTTCGCACTCTTCAAATATATATAGCATTTGTCTGATGATGCTGTTGAAGAATGCCAACAATTTAGCTGGGTCAAATCCATTTTGAATTGTGAATTGTAATTAAGGTGATGTCTGAAGTGTGCGCTGTTTAATGAAACAACGTGAACGAGGGAGATGAAGAGCGAGATATAGAGTTTCTGTATAACGATTTCAATGCACGTTTAAGCATCGAAAATGAGCATTAAGTCGAGAAGTTTTTAATCGCCGAAATACTCGTTGAACTTTGAGGTTTTCCCGCCTACCGTTTGCATCCATTCAAAATCACAAAACAATGGGAACCATTGAACAATCTACTTCTCGGCCCGTGTTTGTTATTGTTGTTTTTCTGCCACATTTCATTGAGCAAACACATTTTCAGTTTGTATTCAGTGTTTGCGTGTGTTTGTGTGCATTTGGTAGCCTTGCCGTGCATCATTCATTCGCAAAATTGTCGCATATCCCTTTGCTACGTAACATTGCTTGGTTTTTTCTACAAATGCACTCATACAATGCATGAACGAGCTGCTCTCTCGTTGGTTGTCAGCAACAATGTTTACCGGATTCAATAAAAAAAAAAAAACAAAGTGTCGTTCCAATTTTATGCGTAGCAGTCCTTTTGTTTCTTCTACATGTGACAGAGAGAAACACCACACCGTTTACTATAGCAGCGAGTACGTGGCAGCTAGCATAGCCAGCCTTGCTGCTGACTCAATTCCATCCGAACGTATTTGAAAGTATTGTTTGTTCCCAGTCATCTATTTACATGTGGTGAACGGTGATAGTACAACATAGGGACTAGAATCGGAGCAAGCTTCCGGTGTCTGGCGAGATCTTTTGAACATTTGCACTGGAAAAACTGCAAGAAGATGAAAAACAAATGCAAATTTATGGAACTTTTATGTCAAAATCCATCTCGAAGATGCTAAGCATTCATTACGAAAATCCGATTTTGTTTTAGAAAAGCGGCCAAAGCTTACAAAAACAAAAACAGAAGCCAAACAAAAAATGCTTGCTAAACCGTAATCGATGACCTGGTTTTAGGCTCTGTCACACGCTGAAGCTTATGAATGAAATTCAGTCGAGTGTTTTGTGCGCAGAATATGGCAAGAAATGAACGAAAACGGTCATAATCGAATGCGGGTAGAAATGGAGGAGAATCACCATATAACCGAAACGACGAAGACTTGAGAAGAGTCACACACCAATACATCGATGATACGCATGATGTGAAATGCGATGTATTTAGCGCAAGTACATGATCCAAGCCAGCAGCAAACCAACGTCAATACAACTGTGTGCAATATTTCGTGATACAAGTAACGTAGGTCCATCCGCGCCAAAGCATCATACACAGAATTAACAGAGAATTGGGAAACGAACACTCTCACTGGTGGTGAATGCAAGACGAAGCGAATGTGTCGAATGAATGGGGGTGAAAAGGACACAGCTTGTATCCATCACCAAGCATACATACAAACATGCAGCGAGAGAGAGAGAGAGAGAGAGAGAGAAAGAGACATAGAGCGGAGAAGGAGAGACATAGAGAAAATGAATGAAATGGCAGCGAAGCACCAGTAAAAAAAGGAACAAACTAGCAGGGAAAAAGGGCATTTCATTAACAAGAGCCATCGCAATCGAAACGAAAAACTCATACAGCATCTGAGATCAAGAGAGAAAGAGAGAAAAACCACACACAGAAAAAAATACACAGTAATACAGAGAAATACGAAAATATGTACATACAACGATTTGCAACAGCTTCATGAATGGAACGGACGGACCGATTGTTGCTTCACTGAGTGAATTTTTTTCATTTCCATTCAATCCGAATGGAATTCGCATTTAAAACGCGTGTGTGCTGCGCTGCTTGGCTTCGTGGTGCTCATCTCAGTTTTCACTTGTTGTCGTAGGAAAAAAAAACGAAGCATCGTTTTACTTTTACACACGAAATAAAAGAAAGAACACTGCAACACAACAAGAACAAGGAGAAGAAAAATTTGGTGTTTTTTTCTCTCTCTCTCTCAAAACGCTTCTATTGCCACAACAAACTAGACATAATTTAATTTTGAGTTACAAATTGGTTTTCTTTTTGTTTGTTTCGTGAAACAACAACAACAAAAAATCGTACTGAGAGAAGAATAACACATTCCATTACAAGAATTTTACCAAGTGCTGTGCGTGTTATGTATTTTCTTTTTGTGTATACAGAAAAAAATAACAAAAAAACTGAAACAAAATCAAATTAAAGACGAGAAATTAACGCGGTGAATTCAAATAAAATACTGAACAACAAAGAATTTAAAAAAAAATGACAAAACATCATCACATCAAATGAACCAACAAACACGGTGTGAATAAAATCTATAAATTCGACAATAAAAAACAAATAAAGATTTTAATCCCTAGACAAATAAACGAAACACAATTCAAAGGCAGATATATATATTTTGTGAAAAGAGAGATTTGTGAAGTGTTGTATCAAAGCGCTTTGAGTTGCGCCACAGTTTTCAATGGGAATAAACTGAATAGAGTAATCGAAACCGTTTTTTTCCTTCTTTTAAACACAAAGTAACACATAAGAATAAAGATATAAAATTAAACCGAAAATAGAGTCGTTAAACAAGAGCTTCGCATTTTAACACAGAAGAAGAACGCTTTTTTGCTAAAAAGCACATTGAATTGAGCCAAGCACCTCAATTCACGCGCGGCCGAAAAATGCCAAATAAAATATTATCAGTGGGCAACATGCAACAAAAACACCATATCCAAATCATTTGAGGGTCGTCAAACATTTACATTTATTTTCTGACCCCAGTCATATAGAAAAAAAAACCCAAACTCAGTCCAACAAGATAAAAGTATTAAGTGAAAATTTTCTAACCGAAATACCGCGACCCAATTACATCACGTTATCGCAACAACCATATCAACAACAAAAAAATAAATCAGTTTCCATCAGATAGAAAGAGAGAAGCGCTAAACACACAAATTCACACATCAACGCCATTCCGTTGTTGACTCAACATTTTCATTTTTTTTGTTTAGAAAATAACCTCACATGTGGCTTTCAACTCGAATATTTTCGAGTTTGATGAATGAAGCACATTCTCATCAGCAAACGAAAATATTCATCATTCGTCTAAATATCTATTGAGAGCAAAAGCAAGCACACACACAAATACATACACGCCAAAACGCCCAGTGGTCATTTTCACTCGCAAAAAGAAGACACACTGAAACCAACTCCTTCAACAACAAAAAAAGCAATAGCAACCAACAGTGACTAATAAAAATAGCCACTTAAGACAAGAACAATCCCGCAGTTTCGTTGATAAGAGTTAATTTGTGTTATTTTCATTTCAATTTTCATTTCTCGGGTGAGAAGCGTACTAAATTAGACAACAAACCAAAATCATGGTAAGTTAAGCAAAAATCTTGTAATTTCATAAGCCTTTTTCATTTTCTCTACTTGGAATGTTCAAAGTTTATGGATAACAATATCATTTTTTTGAATTATCGAAATATAAATGGTTACCAAGTAACCACCGATAGCAATGATAGCAACGGGAAAGGGTTTTAACAATCTCAACAATTCTCAAAAGTGTGAGGAGTTAATAGTTCAAATGTCTGCAAATGATGCGAACGAAAAATAAACGAAATCGTCAGCATTTGGGAACATCCATTTGATTATTCTCAGACGTTGACATTTACAGCATCAATTTTAGCGTCGATGTTTTTACAACGCCCCAAAATCAACCACCCATCGCGTTCATCGCGTTTCTCGAAGTGCCGAGATCAAGCGACAGTTTTATTGAAGAAACTTAAGCGATGACTTTTGATTGCGAATCGAATCGGTTGTTGGCACTTTGTCACTTTTCAACGCTGTAAGCGAATCAATCGGGATCTGTTTTTGGACAGGGGAATGCCATGGATAAGATGTATTCAAGCGTTAAGTATTTTGAAAACCATGGAAACCACCCACCTTTCAAGATATTATTATATATTCGTGGCCCCATCTCCCCATTCTATATTGAAAACTCTCACCCTCCATCTCGAAGCATGGAAAAGAGCGCGACTCGTACTTATTTTGTAAATGTTAACAAAGTCGACCAAATCGACCATAATCGTTATCGTCTAACGGATAAATGATTCATTTAAATCAGGCTCGGATAAAATCGGGCTCGAAATGTGTGCAAAATCCATTTAATTCATTCCACTTTATTTGGTCAAATCGTTACTTTCGCAAAACGGCGGAATGTAAATAAAAATTGTTGTGCAAAATAAACACAAGAATAACAACAGCAAACAATCGCACTGTTCGTTTTTTTTGTGTAATAAAAATGCGAAAACAATTTTGAGAGAAAGAGCAACAAGTGCCATTTAAATAGAAAATCAAATAAAACCGTCATCGCCGTCGCCTCCGCCGCGCTCAATTCACATTTATATTCGTGTGTTTCGTTTGTTTTTTCTTTTCATTTTTACGGCGTAAACGTTTCAATAAAATTTTGTTGTCACCAGATTGAGCGTGTACTCGTGGCACATTCACATGGACATCGAGATAAACGAACAAATAAACGAGAAACAATGTGCAAGGGAGAGCAATCTTTGCATAATAAAATAATCGCCAATTCATCAATATTATTGCTAAGTTTGCGTGTAACGCCCCCAAAATTCGTATCGCAACACTTTGTTTTAGCTTTTACTTTTATGGCCACTCGTTATTTCATTTCATTTTCGGTTGCCATTAGTAGAAAGAGAGGGAGAGAAATGTACAAATTTCACCAGTAAATTGTGAGCACGAAAAGGATTTATGCGCACAGCACATTCTGTGCTGAAAATAACGGACTGGCTGCTATCGAGCTTACTTTGTAGCAGGCACATACATTTGTAGCGCTTAATTAGTGATTTAAAGCATTTCTCGTTAAGTCATGGCAAAGAATTTAACGATGACGATAAATAACCGACATCATTTTTTGTTGAGGTCGTTGCTGTCGTTCTTTTTTATTCACTCGAATTCCAATATTCAACGTCACGTATGAGCCAGTTCCAGCCAGTTCGACTGACACCGAATTGGCCAAACAAAAACAATCGAACATGATTCGTGCACATTCGCGTGCACAATTGCCTGTTATCGCCTCAATTTTATTATTAAATGAAAATTTCCGAATGTATAAGAAGCTCAACGATTTGTTTGGTCCGAACAATTGGTACGTGGGAATGCAATTAAAAACAAACGCGATGTTTCACGCGAGAGAGAGAGAGAGAGAGAGAGAGAGTGAAGGAAAAAAAACGTGAGTTTTTCCTTTCGTTACAAGCAAAGATAGCCATAGAAGTTGCAATTTTGTTTGTTTTTTTTTCGGGTCGCAATTGTTGTTATATTTTGTTCACATTCAGTGCGACGTGGGCTGAATGTTGGCTTACAATGGATTTCATTGTCACCATATTAATCAAAGCCAAAATGTGTGAGTATTCTTGTTTTTGTCGCACTTAATCCCATCGCAAATGGGAGGAAGAAAACTGTCGGGTGTTTACATTAAATAAATGTTCAAATCGGTCGAAAGCCAAGTGCTTTTTCTTTTAGTTTTTTTTTTAATTTTCTTTTAATTTTAAATACTTTGATCCGCACTCGCATACCACGCACACAACTTCTGCTCGCTTACTTCACTTAAACCACATAGATAGATGGATTCGGATCTTTTGGCCTCAACACGAGCATCATTCACCGAATCGTTTTTTTTTTTTGCTTTTTTTATTACGCCGCAAATTCGAACGAAATGAGAGAAAAAAGAGACAGCCCATCACTTTTATGGGGCTCATCTTTTTAGCACTACATGAAATGTAGAGCTACTAATCTGCTTTTTTTTCTAGATACTTTTTGAGTGATGAAACAAATTATGGTGAATTTTATGCTCATATTTTTTATTTAATTTAAAACAGGTGCACCTACGACAAATAAGTGCACAACGTCTCAAAGCGCCAATCAAATTTTTATTATCAAATGTTTTTCAAATATTACATTAATTTTTCGTATAGTATTTTTCTGAGTCTTGATTAGAATTAAAGTGATTTTAGATTCTATGCTCATATTGTTTATTCAATTTAAACTAAAGGCAGTATATTTCAAAAAAGAAATAAAACCAAGATCTTGTGATTCATTTTGATAATAAATATATTACTTCAAAGTTACTTTGATGAAATACATTTCATGTAGTGCGCCAAAAAATGGTTTGTTGTGAAACAACAAAATAGATTAAATAACTAAAAACTCAAGAACGCAGAGCGGAGCAAAGCGAAGCTCTGCGGTCTTGTTTTGTTTTTGTACATGTTCAAATTGACCTCCCCGCTTATATATTTACTTACTTTTTATTTGTTTTTTTTTTTTCGTTTCGCCAATTTATCTGTTCTTTACTTTTTCGCTGCACATACGGAAAAAAGGTTTAAATATTCGCTACGCCCAATTTTTTTTCCTTAAAATAAACCAAAATTTGAGATTTCTCAGACAAAATTTATTTCGGCGCCTCCATTTTGCATACATTATATAGCAGGGATCGAAAACGGTTTGACGTTTCTCATACAAACCGATTTCGGAACGGTTTCACTGCTTTGCTCTCTGTTCATCGGAGCGAACCATATCAAGCGGAACGTTCTGAGAATGGTTTGTATGGGCAACGTTCAAGCGGGTTGTCACTGTGTTAGTGTCGTATACTAATACACGTAAGCATAAACGTTTCTGTGTGCCATACAAACCATTTTTCAGAACGTTCCGAATGGTTTGGTTTGTTCACACACTTAAACCAAATATTCGGTTTGGTTTGGTTTCGATCCTTGTTATATAGGTCGAAAAATAAATTTTGCCTGAGAAATCTCAAATTTTGGTTTATTTCAAGGAAAAACAAATTAGGCGTAGCGAATATTTAAACCTCTTTTCCGTGTGTGTGGTATTCCTTTGATCCCCAATGGACGGCGAATATGCTATGGGTCTAAATATTTCTTTTACTTTAACACGTGTTAAGTCGATTTTTGTGATAACTTCGGTACTAGTTTAACACTGGGAATGTAAATATGTCTATGAATTTAATACGTGTTATCTCCGTATTTTGGTGCTAATGGTGGAATTTCGTGTTAAAACGGAAAAAATTACGTCAAATTGTGTTTTAACATAGATGATTGCAAATTCCAATTATATTTTATTGTTTAATATTATTAAATTAATAACATTGTTTACTTGTTTGAAATGCTTTCAGCTATTTATATCTACAAAAAATTTGTTGGATCAAATTAAGAAATAAAATTTTGATTTTTTCCAAGCCTAATTCATTTCTATTCAAAACTTCTGGAAGGTTTTAGAACTTAGATTTTTAACCCGGACAAATTTTGAACGCATTAAATGATTAGTTTGTGAAGAATAAATGAAACTTCTAGCAGACTTAAAACTTAGACTTCAAACCTGAATAATAATTCTAAGCCAAATTAAAAATTTCATTTATTTGTTCTGAAAATTGATATTGTTTTAAAAGGCTTGAAATTATTATTCAGGTTTGAAGTTTAAGTTTTAAGTCTGCTAGAAGTTCCATTTATTTTTCTCAAAATTATCATTCAATGCGTTCGAAATTTGTCCAGGTTAAAAATCTAACTTCTCAAACCTTTTAGAAGTTTTGAAGAAAATTCGGGCAATTTCGAGTTATTTTCAAGCCTAAGAAATTAATCCACGAAAAAATCTTATAAATTGGAAAAATATCAATTTTGGATCAGTATCAATAAGAATGCAGACTCCAGAGATAGAAAAATTGTTGTTTAATTTTTTTAAATTTGATGATCTTTGATCCAACAATGTCTTTCGGAAACATGTGAGTTCATATTGACTGAACAAAAAAATTGAAGTGTGAACTAAATAAAATTAATCACTGAGAATTATTATCGAAATTGCAACTAATAATATATATTGGCAACACATATAACCAGAACTGGTGATATTCCTAATACTAGTAAATAGTGGGTACAACTATAACACGAAATTATGGGATAACTCAACAGAAATTACATTAGAATATTCTTTTTCGTGATAACTTTTTTCGTACTGTGGCTAACTCCAAAGTAAGAACGTATTTACAATAGTAGGAAAATCTGTGTTAGTGGCAAATCGGCATATTTGATACCGATATTGGTGGTATTTCCAACAGAAATATTTACGTTTGGTGTTAAATACATCCGTTAGTACCAATTTCCGGTGATAATTTTCGAAATAGTGGTAAATGTAGGAATAGTACTTCAGAAAAGGTTCTAGTGTTATATTCACAGGTGATATTCGTATGGTGTTTTTTATTTTTTAATTGCAAGCATAATGATTTTTGATGTATAAAACAGTTAACTCCCTCCAATATCAACACAACACATGAACAAATTTGAATTTTGAATTC